AACCCCCCCCTCCCCCCCCCCCCCCCCCCTCTCTTTCTTTCTTCCTGTCTTTTTTTTTTCCCTTGTGTCTGGAATTTATACCCTTTTCCAAACTAACACATCTATAGTATCACATGTATAGATGTATGATGCATGAAGATCACATTTGCAATTTTGATATTATTTCACGTAAGTCTTCTATTTAGGTAATTAGTTAATGGTCACCATTACGCAATGCATGGAAAATGTAAATACATATATTATTCTTGTTGCCATTGTCTGGTGGGGATGAAGAACATGACTTTATCATTTTATACATGCATTATATTTGTTATGCCCAATTCTTTTATAAATGCATCAGAGAAGAGAGACAGAGAGAGAGAGTCCATGGTTAAAGCTGACAAGCTACACGTAGTTGTGTTCCCATGGTTAGCCTTTGGTCATATTATCCCATTCTTAGAGCTTTCCAAGCTCATAGCTGGGAAGTGTCACAAAGTCTCCTTCATATCAACCCCTAGAAACATTGATCAACTGCCAAAATTTCCTCCAAACTCAGCTCCTCTACTGAGTTTAGTGAAGCTCCCTGTATCCCAAGTCGACAACTTCCCTGAACATGCAGAGGCCACCATTGACGTGCCCTATGACAAGGTCCAATATTTGAAAAAAGCCTTCGACGGTCTCCAAACTGAGTTGACTCAGTTCCTCAAGATCTCAAACCCCGATTGGATCATCTATGACTTTACCTCTCACTGGTTGCCCCAAATTGCAAGTCAACTTGGCATTGCACTTGCCTTCTTTAGTACAGTAAATGCATGGTCCGGGGCTTTCTTTGGATCGGCGATCACCATGGCGAACTCCGCTGATTATCGTACGAAGCTGGAGGACTTCACCGTCGCACCGAAATGGGTTCCATTTCCATCTTTTATCGCTTTTCGGCTCCATGAGATAAAGAGATTGTACAACAGTGTTGATGACAATATTTCTGGCATTTTGGACGCGTCGCATTTTGGGAAGACTGTAATGGGATGCGACGTGTTTCTCATAAGGAGCTGTACAGAGCTTGAACCTAACTGGTTGGACCTCTTGCAAGAGCTCCAACATAAGCCAGTTGTACCAGTAGGTTTATTGCCACCCTCGTTCAAAGGCGACTAGGGTGGCAAGGATGATACTTGGCACACAATCAGTGTATGGCTGGACATACAAGAGAAAGAGTCTGTTGTATATGTAGCACTCGGGAGCGAGGTGACACCGAGTCAAGCTGAACTCACAGAGTTGGCTCTAGGGTTAGAGCTTTGTGGTTTGCTCTTCTTTTGGGCTCTAAGGAAGCAGCATGACTTGGCCAACTCGTTTGAGTTACCAGATGGGTTCCTAGAGTGAACCGAAGGTTGTGGTCGTGAAGGTTGTGGTCGTGGAGTTGTATGGACGAGTTGGGTGCCTCAACTCAGGATACTAGCACATGACTCGGTGGGTGTTTTCGTGACTCACTGTGGTTGGAGTTCAGTCATTGAAGGACTGCAATTTGGGCGGCCATTGATCATGCTGCCTTACTTGGGAGACCAAGGGTTGATTGCTAGCGCTATGGAAGAGAAGAAAGTTGGAATAGAGATACCAAGAAACGAAGAAGATGGCTCGTTTACTCGGAACTCGGTAGCTGAGTCACTGAGTTTGGTGGTGGTTAATGTTGAAGGAAGGACTTATAGGGAGAAAGCAAAGGAGATGAAGACAACATTTGGAGACAAAGATCTTCATAGCCAATACATAGACAAACTGGTCGAGTACCTTAAAAAACATAGGCATCTTCCCACCGACGATTAATGCATCATATGAATACAAAACTGCCTAAATAATGCACAATATATAATGGATAGTTTTGTGTATTTTACGTTATCTTGCCATGTAAGCATGATATATACTTTATAATATAAATGTAATGTCCTTGTTAAATGTGTTTTTTTTTTTTCTTAATCTTTCTCTCCCTGTGGTCGAACCTGTTTTTACTTCTTCTACTCGTCAGACTTGTTACGTTTATCACTTTACTCGTTGATCCTAATCTGATTTTGAACTCATCACCCCAAGCAAATGAATAGTTTAGTACTCTTAGAAAATATCATATTGTACTCTTAGAAATGTAATAATAAAGGGCAGGACGGAGCCAGAAATTTTGTTCAGAGTGGACACTTTAATTATATATTTTAATTTTTTCCTTTCTAACCAATCACACTATATAACATATTTATATTTATTCTATTATATTTAATATATGAAGTCTATTTAACATAAAAAATTTCTAAAAAAAAAATGTATATTGTCAGGGACGGAGCTATGAATATCTATGATAAGGCAAAATATAACTGGTATAAAAAAATATTTAGCCAAAATTAATACAAAAAAATTCAGTTCAAGAAAAAAAAAGAAAGTAAGAATGAACACTAAATTATTGTGAAATAGTAAATTTAATTTTTATTTAGTCGAAACAAAATCTTAACAAAATGACACAAAATAAGTTTTTTAGTACATTTTAACCTAATTATATATTTCAATAAAATATAAAAAATTTTAAAATTTCTAAAATTTTGTATATGAATTAAATGTAAATTAATGTTTCAATAATTTTCTATCAATGCGTACAATCACAAGTACGTAGTAAAATTATTCTTTATTTAGTTACAAAATTTAGTTGAGATCATTATCAATTTTATAGGGAAATTTATTATTCAAAATAGTTTAAAATATTTTTGGGTCACAACCTTTTATTTTTTGTATATAATCGTATTTTATTAAGTTATAGACTATTATTACTAAAAAAAAAGGTAAATAAAAACTAAAATTATTGTTAAAAAGTGACGAACATTGTGTTAGATAAAGAGAAATATTGTACTTTCGTCAATATACAAATAGAACATTGACTTAATCCAAAATTAACATATTTATTTTAGAGGGTTAGTGGTCCACTAATTTATTAAAAAAAAAAAGGACTAGAATCACTATTAAAATTTTCAAAAATTTAGGGGGTAAATATAATGTATAAAATAATTTTATAAGTTGGTGCAAAGAAGGACAAAAAACTCAAGGAATTGAACTTCTCTGTTTCTTCTCTTTTTCTTGTGGCTAGGCAGTGGGCAATGGACAGTTGGCAGTGAGCTATACAGAGAGAGAAAAAAAAAAAGGAAAGATAAGATAGATTTTAGTCAAGTGGGCCAAAAGTTTTGTTTTATAATTATGGTGGACCAAAAATTTTGCTTTTGGGCCAACATTTTTTTTGTTTTTAATGTTAGGCTAAAAGTTTTGTTTTTTCAATAGGTTTGAGTGGATTATGATAGATCAAATATTTTATTTTGTAATAAATTTGGGTAGATAATAGTGAGTTTAATTTTTTTTTTGTTTTAAATGGACTTAATTTTTTTATTATTTTAGGTAAATAATGTGAGTCTAATATAAATTAGGGGTATATATATATATATAATATATATCTAACTAATAAAAAAAAAAAAAAATTGAGGGGCGGGGGAGGGACATGCCCACCTGCCCCTGCCTCCCTCCGGCTATGATAAAGGTTTAGGCGATTGACCAATCTCAAAATGATAGAAAAGTAATAAAAATACTATATCAAAAAGCTTTGCCAAACGGTAATCGAAGAAATTGGAAATAAGTTGGACAAGGATAGGGAAAGAAGTGTTTAACAAAATTTGTTTGTTTGTGGTCTCCTTCGTATCCTTATCATCTGAAAGGTGTTATGATTGAATTTAATGGCGCAAATAATCATTTAGAAGGACCTTTCACTACTTTTTATTTTTATTTTTATTTTTGAATTAATGATGACATAACACTTAATATTTTCTCGTCTTGAAGTTGGTAGTAAGCTCTGCAAGAAAAGACAAAACAGTGGGTACCAAGTCTATTTCAAAGTTTGGTCTTACTTCATATTCGTACCTTAATAATATTGATACTAAGGATGACACTCCACACAAAAATGAGTATTCATTCAAATTAATTCTATTCGGATAAAAGATAGATCATATATATTGGATAATAGATGTATACAAAAATATACATATAAACTCATGTGAGAATGAAAACAGAGATGGACTAACACTTACTCCTACCCTGTCCCTCCTTGCTCCGCCTTACCCATTATTATCTATATATATGTGTGTGTGCGCGCGCGCGCGCGTGTTGGGAATATAAATCTACATATTATTAAATTTTTTTTTTTTTAAAAAAATTATTTTATTTTATTTTTTGATATTTTTAACTCGTAAAAGTATAAATCTTTATGTTTTTAGGTTTTTTTTATATTGGATTATATTACGTTACATTATATTGTGTTGCATGATGTTGTGTTAGATTTATATGAAATATAAACTTTTAATTATATTATGTTGGAATATGTTAGATTATTTAGAATGTTATATTTATTTAAAATTTTAGATTATGTTGGCTTAGGTTGGGACGGGTAAAGTGGATGCGGGCGGGGCCGGGGGTGAAGGTGAGGGACACGACAGGGGCATGGATTAAAAATTTATCGACGAACGGAGATAGAGATGAAAATTATACTCGTTAACGATGGTAGGTCAGATATGGACGATTTTTTTTTAAGTGGGTATAAGAATGGAAACTATACTTTCAACTCCTGCTTCGGTCCACTACCATCCTTAAACAATACGTTATGATTAAAAGTGGCACAATTATCATTATTATATGATATTACTAATTAATAGTAATAAATTAATATCAAGTGGATCCTAAATAATTTAACAACTATCACATTCATATAAAACAATAATTATTGTGTATAAAAAATTATTAATTTTTTGGGTTAATTATAAATTATACTTCGAAAGATCTCTCGAATCTCAATTTACACTTTCAAAAATATAAATTTATATCAATGCGTATCTAAAGTTAACAGATGTCAATTTGTTGTCTAAACTGGTTAGGTAAGTTACACTTAAACTCCCTCAAGATTGTAATTTAATCATTTGATTCCCTTCATATTACTCTTATACCTCTTGATAGTTGTGCACATGTAACATATAACCCTTTATCGTTGACATCTGTTAATATAATCCTTAAAAAACACCATTCATTATAATAAAAAATTATAATTTTTATACTACATATTATTTTGTGAATCCATTATATTCTAAAGTTCAAAATTAAGCTTACTATTTAATTGTCTAATATAATATAAATATTTATATAATATTTTTTATATCCAATACAATAATACATCACTTAAACAGAATTATTTGAATGCTCAATTAAGAGAACATTTTTAGTCATATTTAAATTTTTAAGAAATCTATATGTAATATTTTAAATGTGAGAGGTTTAAATGATTAAGTGACAATCATAAGGGGTTTAAGTATAATTTATCTATTTAATTTTAGACGATAAATTGACGAATTGTTAATTTCAGCTATATATTAACATAAATTTATATTTTAAGGATACAAATTGAGATTCGAATAATTTTTTAAATTCCAATTTATGATTAACCTTTATTTTTGTTTTTTTGCTTATTTATAAATTTATTATTAAATGATGTAATTTCCTTTATAAAGAGTAAGAGCGTCTCCCACGTAAGGAAACCCTTTGTTTCATAGTCTCTCAGTCGGTCATACCAGCCCCACAAACAAAGCTTCTGCGCACCTCTCACCGCCATGGCCAGCGAATCCAAGCTTCACGTAGTGATGTTCCCATGGCTAGCTTTCGGTCACATGATCCCATTCCTTGATCTCTCCAAGTTCATTGCCCAAAAGGGTCACAAAGTCTCCTTCATCTCCACCCCAAGAAATATCAAACGCCTCCCAAAACTTCCTCCAAACTTAGCCTCCCTCATAAACCTAGTTCACCTTCCTCTACCTCGAATCCACAATCTCCCTGAACATGCAGAGGCCACCATTGATGTCTGTGCAGAGGACATCGTCTTCCTCAAGAAAGCCTTTGATGGTCTCGAAAATGATTTCTCTCAATTTCTCGAAAACTCTTCAGCGGATTGGGTTATTTATGACTTTGCCCTTCATTGGTTACCCCCAATAGCTGCAAAGCTGGGCATTTCGTGTGCATTCTTCTCCATCGTCAGCGCTTGGTTTATCCCCACCTTTGGACGATCAGCTTCTATGATGATCGACGGATCAGATCCACGGAAGTCGCCGGAGGATTTTACAGTGCCACCTGAATGGATACCTTTTCCGACGAACCTAGCGTATCGGCGATATGAGAGCAACTGGATCCAGAGCGCAATTGAAAACACTGATTCAGGGGTTTCGGATGCTTATCGTTTGGGCTCGACGATTATGGGGTGTGACGTCATTCTTATCCGAGACTGTAACGAGCTCGAACCTGCTTGGTTGAAGCTTCTCGAAGAGCTTTACCAGAAGCCTGTAATTCCAGTAGGTTTAATGCCTCCGTCGGTGAAAGATTCCGGCGATGAGAAAGATGAGAAATGGGTCTCTATCAGAAATTGGCTTGAAAGCAAAAACAAAGGGTCTGTGGTGTATGTTGCACTGGGGAGCGAGGTGACACTGAGTCAAAATGATGTCACTGAGTTGGCTCTGGGGTTGGAGCTATCTGGGTTACCTTTCATCTGGGCTTTAAGAAAGCCCCCGGGTTCAACCGAGTCTGACTCGGTTGAGTTGCCAAATGGGTTCTTGGAGCGAATCAAAGGGCGTGGGCTTGTTTGGACGAGTTGGGTGCCTCAACTCAGGATATTGTCTCATGACTCAATTGGCGGGTTCTTGACACACTGTGGTTGGAGTTCAATTGTAGAGGGTTTAATGTTTGGGCACCCACTCATTATGTTGCCGTTCTTTGTGGGCCAAGGGTTGAATGCTGTGGTTCTTGTGGAGAAGAAGGTGGGGATACAAATACTGAGAAATGAAGAAGATGGGTCGTTTGCGAGGAACTCGGTGGCTGAGTCTCTGAGGTTGGTAATGGCGGAGAACGAAGGAAGGATTTACAGGGAGAAAGCAAAGGAACTGAGTGAATTATTATTCACAGACAAGAATGGAGAAGACCGATATCTGAATCAGTTTGCTGAGTATCTTGAAAGCCATGGTCGTCTTCACAAGAGCTGACGTACTGTACAGTAAACTTGTTTATGGAAGTTTAATAGTTTACGATTACGTCGTTTTATAGTTTTTTTTTGTTTAAGCATTTAAAAATAAAACTTAATAATTAAATTTGATAATTATAATCATTGATTTCATTGTGGGTCTTAGTATTTATTGGAACCCACTATCTATTTAATTGTTAAAATTATCAAATTTAGTTTTTAAATTTAATTTTTAATTCCATATAATATTACTTTTATTTATTTATTTATCAGAATATCGTTTTATCTTCTATGTTAATAAGATAAATCTCAATTTAAATCTTTAAGTTGGGAAAACACAAGAATGATTCAGATTTATTTAAGAATATTGATCCAACCGTTTAAAATTACTCCCACAAAATTTTCCCCTCATATATGTCACATTTAAATCCAAATGAACAATACTATATGGACTTAAAAAATAGACTTGATAATATAAATCATTGATTTCACTATGGGTCTCAGTATTTATTGAGACCTACTACCTATTCAATGGTTGAGATTATCAAGTCCAATTTTTAAATCTACTTTTTAAGTTCATCTAGCATTACTCAACCTAAATTTCAAAGGTCTAAAATTGATCCAAAAGTTAAAATCACTCTCAATCCTTCTCTCACGTGTCATCTCTCTCTTCCCTCACCCCTCTCAGCTTCAACTATCTCTGCCCAGCATACCCAGCTTCAACTATCTCTGTCCAGCATACCAAACATCCCTCTGCCCCATCTCCCTCATATCTCTCCCCATCTTTGCCTATTCTCTTACTCTTTCTTTGCTCTGTTCTCTGACCCCATCTCAGTTGAAGTAAACCATCGCCACCACCAGTAGCAACAATGACGGCGATGCGTACAAGGTGTTCGATCAAATGCACACATCGCATTCTTTTGGTTATTATCGAAGAAGGCCAGCCCCACCACCGTAACCCCGGTGTCTCTCTGAGGTTGTTTTTTTTTCTCCCCTCCCCTCCCTTCTCCTTATTTCTGTTTGTGCGCGTTGATTTTTACACAATCGATGAAAGAACAAATCTCTCCCTTGGTGAACTCGTATTTGTCTTGAAAGTCGATAATTCCGGGACAAAGGGAAAATCCAAAATGGCCAAAGAGGCCTAAGGAGTGGTGATGAATTGCTTCAAGTGCTGCTCGATTGAATACGGTGGGTCGTAAGCGGTTCCTAGCACACAGAAAACGGGTTAGAAGGGCACCAAAGTATTTTTCGGCGTATTTACTCCGATGATCAAGTCAGTTCTTTGAGAGAAAGGAAAAAGAAAACATTGTATTGTTCTTGGAGAGTGATTTTGCATACCTAGGCATTACATTTTTTGGAGCTATTTATACCTCCAAAGACCTATCATTACTGATGGTCTAGTCAGTAGGCAGTACCCAGACATGGGACAATATGCCTCCTATTTTACATGGGGGAGACCCCATTATTAATTGTCCATGCTCCCATGTATTTAATATTTTTTCTTCGATGTAAAGACTTTAAATGCTCGGACCCCGGAGCATTTAATGCTTCGTATCCTCGGTTTCTCAAGTTACTGTGGATGTCCCATCGCTGAGGTTTCATTAAATGTTTGCTTGAGATTATTATATGTCAACAGAAATATTTTTGTCTATTTACCCCTCATTTTGCACTTTGTGCCACGTGTTTGACTCTTCTTGGTTGAGTATCTTGTTGGTTCTGCTATTCTGACCTCGTCGTACAAAACACCCTCATGATTCTTAATCTAGTTTAGACTGATTAACTGTCAATCAATGGCCTCTCCAGAAACCGAAGACACGTGGCAAGATTAGAGTTTCAGTAAGTACCCTTGAAGCTGAAGACACGTGGCTGCCCCGGAGTGGGAGTACCCTTGGAGCCAAGGACACATGTCTGTCATAGAATGGGGGGAACCTCGATGCCAAGCAAACGTGCTTGTGGCATAGCAACAGGTGCCTTCGAAGCCGAGGATACGTGTTTTCGTTAGAGCAAAGATATGTCTTTGGCGCTGAGGACATGTGTCTTTTTCAGAACAAAAGACGTACCTCAGTGGTGAAAACACGTGTCGGTGATCTACTCCCTTTCTCAAAAGTGTCCCATCACTGTCATCTTTTCTGCGCACAAACCACCCTCATAGATGTCCTAATTTGTGTCTCCTCTCTTCTTAATTCTCACATTTTCTCTTCTTTCCCTTCCCGTTTATATTATCTCCATCTCTCTCTAACACCGACAATCACACGAGTCTCTGTTTATCTTTGTCTCCCTCTCTGCACAACACACACCTCGCGTGCAAGGTGTTCGACCAAATACACACAATGTGTTCGATCAAATGACCTTAACTCTCAACGCACACATATAGCATGCACAACACACACGCCACACGTCGTACAACCCACCCACCCACACAACAGTACACACGTCACAAAGCTCACATACATGCACAGTAGAACACATAACACACACGTACATTACCCTTAACTATTTGAAAATTATTGTTTTTATGCTTAAGAAATCTGAAATGGGTTTTGAAATTGAAATTTGGATATAATGTTCAATGGTAGAATGGTCATCAAATTTTGGAAGGGCATATTTTTAAATATTTTTAAGAGTTGTAAGTTGTTTTATGTGGTTTGACCTTACCAATTTTGATTAGATTATTGATTCTCTGTTTTAATTAGGTTATTGATCCCGTTAAAAAACTTTTCACTGTGAAAATCCTTTTTTTTGTTTGTTGGGTATGGGAATTGAGTTGTCGGTTGCGGTAGAAAGGGCGAAGGTAGAATACATGTGTGTATGCTATGTTCCAGGCTATGTTCTAGCCTTAAAATTTCCTTAATTTCTTTTAGATCAACCTTTGCATTCCTTTGTTTTGTATTCTTTGTCAACCAATGACACATACAATCAGATTTGAGCATGCAGGACTATTGCAATGGAGGTTATTAGAAAATTTCAATTATACGTTTGTATTTTGTGTATATGATTTCAAACTATTGGGTTTTGCCAAGATATAAATTTAGAGTTGGGAATTTAGCATGTCGATTGCTTTCGTCAATTGGCATTCTTAGAAGTCATGTAGTTTCATAAATTATAAGAATTACATCATTGGTTTGGCAACATAAATTTCCATATTTTCCTATGCATCAAGTTCAAAATTTCAATTTAAGAAACAAAATCTGAAAAATATTTTTGATAGCTCTTGGCATTGGCAAAATATTTTATTTCACCTTTTTTGTTTTCCAACTTTTCTTTCTTTTAAAATTGGCCATCGTATAATGTTATAACAATACTTAATAAATAGCTACAAGTTTAAGTGGGATTACAATTCAATAATGTTGTCTCATTAGCATATCCTAAGTCAAATTTTGACCCATAATCATTCATTTAGAACATAGCCAATAATTTTTTTCCTGATGAGTAGCTCCTAAAATATAAAGTTAAGAAACAAAATTTTGAAAACCTTTCTAAAAGCTCTTAAAATTAGCAAAATATTTTATTTCGTCTTTTCTGTTTCCCAACTTTTCTTTTTCAGATGTCTTGCTTTCAAAATTGTTCAAGTTTTTTGCGTGCTGCCTTATTTCCTCTATACTTTTGTCATTGACTAACTAAAATACATCTACCACCATCGATTTTTTGGGATGATCAATTTTTTTATTACATCATGCCTTCAAACACAGATTATTACTAGTAGTTCAATATATAGTGATATGGGTCGATAAACAAGTGGTGAGTTAAAGATTCTGTTCGTGGTTGAAACCAAGTTCAATAAAAGTTTTTAGAGCAACTCCAAAGGGAGTGGCATCAGGGTGATAACCCTATAACCACCAAAATATCACTTTAAATTCAAAATTTTTTATTCCAACGGGATGACATCAAGAGTTGAAAAATGGCATCAATGCTCTTGCCTCTTGGAGTGACAATTTTGACAACTCTGGAGAGAAAAAGAGAGAGATTACAAATGGGTTTAATTATATTTTTTAAGAGCAACTCCAAGAAGATACTCGTTAAAATATATTAAAATATTTTGACAGTAATAAAAAATATTAAAAATATTAAAATGACACTGCATTTTATTACTCATCATTAAAACAAATTTATAATTTAGAGATGTCAAAATACTGTTTAAAATTACAAATGGGTGATTTGANGCATTTTATTACTCATCATTAAAACAAATTTATAATTTAGAGATGTCAAAATACTGTTTAAAATTACAAATGGGTGATTTGACACCCCAAAATGACAACTCTCTTTAGAGTTGCTCTTAGTTTGAGTGTTCAATCACATTCTTCATTTCCATTGTATTTCTAGAACAAAATGGTATCAAAGACAAACTACCATTAAAGCAGATTTTTTTTTTTTTTTTTACAGGTGTCGACTATTCTACTAACTCTGAATCAATCATCATAACTCGAGTTAATTTAAAGACATGAACAAAAATGTCTGACCCTTAAGGGATTGTAGAAAATATCAAATCTAAAACTCCTTACTTACAAGATGACAAACTTAACCACACTAAACAAAATTATATCAGAACCAATAATTTATGATATTTGATAGACTTGACCACACTAAACAAAATGTTATGAGAACCAATATTGATGATATTTGATGTACTCTCCACGCAATGGCGTGGTATGCGAGCAGGAACAGAAATTAGAGCATCTCTAAGAAATGAGTTAAAATACACAAATTTTAAATTTTAGTTATTTTACCCTAAAATTTAACTCTAATAGAACATCTCAAAAGAATCTAAAAATTAACATTTTTGCACTGGTAAATTCTTTCAATAAGTTGAGATAGTGACCCATCAAATAATCCAGAGTGATGAACCTGAAAACCACCAAATGATTAGGAAATGGACCGGGTGTGTACTCAGTTAATCCCTTCCGAAACTCAAGTCAATCGCCATAACAGTCATAATGCACAGTATATTCCTCATTTTAGATTGCATACCTTGGTCTAGCCTTTGTAAGAGTTATTTATAAGTGGGTTTGCAATGATGGTCCTGTCCTTGAGTCCCATCTTAGAACTTAACGGGTTGTGCTCATATTCTAGCACAATGAGTGTCATTCCATCAAGTTTCATTAAAATTAATCCTCTCGAGCGAGTGGACTTTTGCTTGGGAACTGTCGAGCATTCATAGCCCAATATCCGATCATTAAATATCTTATATCGACGCTTGAAACCTACACTCGAACTTTCATGAGGAGGGATAAACTATCTTCGGTCTGTCCCGAAGCCTTTATGTTGGTATGATGGTCATTAATGCCTCCTAATAAAGACCGTCTCTACATGCTTTGAGGATCTGAATATTCATTAATGGCTCTATCAAACCACTCGAGACCCACATTATTGAGTTGTTAGATCCTATTTAATGCTAAGCTCCGAGGGCCATATTCAGCTCTATATGACATAACTCCTCGACTTCTCTCTCAAGCGTGCTTTGCACGTTCTAAAGGTTGTATCTATCCATGTGTCCACTTTTTACTAGTGAACCGCCTAATGTCCCATCAATTTTGATTTAGTGATACTTGATATTTATAGTGTCATTGTAGCAATATATATAAACACTTTATAATATTTTTTCTCTCCTCCTTTCTTTTCCTCCATTCTCTTTTTTTTTTT